TGTACCTTGCCAACCTGACTCCCCGACATGTATACACAACTCTACAGCATTCACTAAATTAATGTCGAGTGCGTTGTCCATGGTGAATTAATGCATATGGTTGAACTAGCATTGGGTTTATTTCTCATCCTCTTCAAGTTTATTTCAAAGCGATACACAATTCTAAAGACATCATTCTGGTAATTGTCAATGAATCCAGACTGGTACCCGGGCACGGATAAACTTCAGTGCACCACAGGTGGAAATATTGTGGAAACCATGTTCATTTCAAGTACGAGCAAAACAACCTAAAATTGAACACAGAAAACACACTCAGAGACAAGATATGAAATAACTTGAAGAAATCTTGCAACGTTGATGTTTTTTTCAATGCATGAGGTCACGTACATGTACGATCCCAGCGGGATAAATAGATTGGGTTGCCACACTCCATCACACATTCTTTTGCATGGGTGCGGTGAGGCAGGAACCAACACTTTGTGCACATGTTTTTGACACAGCAAGAGGAAAACACATACATTTACACGTAGAGAACTCGCTTTGCAAATGTAAAAATAGAGAATTTGCTTTGCAAATGTAACTGGGAAAACATAAACACAAAATCAAGCAGTTGCACACGAACTAAAGCTTTGTTACCAGAGCCTTCCCTAACTAACAAATATGGATATGAAACTGAGAATATCAACAAAATGGAAGACAAAAATGTTGTTCTGAGGTGTCTGTGATGACAGAGAAGAAACAAGATTTATTTATTTGTCATTCTTATATGAATAAAATTTATTATAAAATTTATTTTCTCTAAGTTGCCAATAAAAATTTTATGGTCTGGCCAAAAATTAGGGTCTGTCAGGAAATCAGAAGCATTGTTTTGGCCTAGATTAGATTAGTTAGATTCTCCGACCGTTATTTGGTTACTCAACGGTCGATGTTTTTATTCGTTGCATCTACATGTACAGATGTAGGCCTATGCCTCTGCAACTAAAGTACAGAATAAACGATAATTGGTGGGATGAAATTGGAAATGGGGCAAAGTGGCGATGGGGTGAAGTGGTGATGGGGCGAAGTGGTCAGGGGCGCAGTGGCATGCGGCGAAGTGGAAATGGGCCGAAGTAAGTGACACCTGTCATGACTGTAGGCCTAGGGATTTAACGAACATCATCATGATCATCATGTAGGCCATGATGTACATGTAGGATGGGTACTCTCTTATCACGGTAGTTATCACATTTGCCGATAGAAATGAAGATTGCTCTATCATCGCCTTCCTGAATTATCCCATCCTTGCTGTTGTTTAACTCTTACTCTTTAATTTGAATTGTAAAATTTTGTTTGTGGTTCAATAGCTCCAAAAATCTGTGTTCGCACCGTACAAATGCAAGCAGAGGTGGAGTCTCTATTATCCCAGTATTGGGAAATGTTTTCTACTGTGGCCTTTAAAGCACTTTGTTTAGGAATAAATAAAGATAAAAAGAATGCTTTTGTTTTCAGATATGTCAGAGGAAACAAAATAGCCTCATTTTGTGATTATGTTCCATTTTACCTGTAACTGACTCCATTCATCCAGTTTTTTCCATAAAGATGCCATACTCTGAGAGAGCGACATGGGAACAGTTGCACTGAGTCACCTTGTCACTTATTAGTCCAGCAAAGAATGGCTTCAATTTTTTCAACCGATCTTACATGCAGCAACAATTTTGGCATTCATCTTATTTCTTAAATTGTTGTTTTGCCGAAGGTACATGTACATGTATAATAAATATATTGCAAATTTCATTTTCTTAGTGGACTCATTCTTTTACTGATTTCTGAAACAATCATTAAATGTGTCTTCTTTCTGAGTTCTAATTCTCCAAGAATTATAATCATCTCATTAGACCTGAACTATTTTGTTCAAACTTAATATTAGAAATTCAAAATATCTGTTGCAAATTCTTCAAATTATAATTAAAAAATGCAAAAAAATTCCAACAATATTTCTGAGGTAATTATTTGCTGTTATTAATTGCCCTGGAGGGTAAAAGTTCAATTGATACAAGTCTACACCTATCGTAATGGAAATTGGGGGGCATGCTTTACGAATGCAAAATGTTTTCCAGCACAGAATTCAGCCCTTATTTTGACTCCAGAAAAAACTGGGCACTTTCACAGTTAAAGTGTGCCGTAAGACCATTTCGGACATGACATATGGGAACCTTGCAACAGATATAAGGGCAGGGTGACCTTAGAAATAACTGTTAAAGAGATTAACGGTAGGTAATGACAGACACGGTGAA